AGGGCAATAAATGCTAGCTAATTTTTTAGGTGTCTTACCTATCCTCACCCCTCCCTTGTGTGCTCTCGCTTTTATCATGTGCTCAAAGTCCAATCCATGAATATTCTTAATGGCAGGGAATTAAAGTATAGTGTTCAACACAACCTAGTCCTTATGCACAAGATTCAAACAAGAGTCTAATATTGAAAAAATGTTCTAATTGAACACATACAAATTACAAAGGCATTAAAAATGTGAAGCTAAAACTACATTTCATATGAAGAAGATTAAACTAGAATGAAGTTTTTAGAGTTTTTATAGTTAAAGAAGCCTCAAGAATCTGTTAACTTAAAGCATTTGCTATTATTTGTGGAGAAGGAAATGCTTTTGTTATCAAAAAAACAATCTCAGTGAGTATAGCTGTTAATTATCTCATTACTGAAGACATGTATTTGGCTTATGGTCACTGCTTGTATCTAAGAAGTAAAGACCGAGGTAATGACACCAGTGAGATACAGTTCTAGTGACTCCACTACAGTTTCCTGAGGCGGTAGAAGTAGGTTTGAAAAAAATGGAACAGCTGGTTTAAACCAAGGAAGTTCAGATAACACGAAGTACCTGATTTTTCCAGCCGTTTTGTCTATAGATTGCCTTATCTTTCTAGAGAACTGAAAGACGGATGACAGCAGCAAATTATCTCCCATGACCTGAAACAAAGAAAAAGTAGGTATTAAGATATCACCACCATGTTGTATAAATATCTAGAGTATTTATACTAATTTTATAAAAAAACAATGAAAAACATAATTAGAGTAACCTGTAACTAAGCTGAGAAAGGGAAAGAAACCTTGTTAATAACAAAGGAATTCTTTTGTTAAACTTCTTGTGAAGTTCCGATATTATTTTGGCCATGGCATTTTCAATGACTATTATGTCTTTGTCTCTCACTGAAATTACCATAATGGGAAAAGAGTACTACATTTATCATTTCTTCATAACATGAATACAGAGATCAGGAAGAGCACAATGCCTGTTCTTTAGACAGAGTCTAGTCAGAAAGATAAACTTTTAAGAATTTACTCAAAACAGTACGTTCTCATGATGGGGTTGGTACCACCCCAGTTGAGACATGGGCAAAAACAGGGGCCAGCAAACTTCTGTGAAGTGGAGATCACAGGCTCTGAAGGCCTTTTGTCTGCAACAATTCAACTCTCTTAGTGTGGAGGAAAAGCAGCCAGAGAACACGCAAGTATGACTTGAGTACAGTTTGTCGAGCTCTGGGCTAAATTATGAGAGGCAGAGCTAGAAAAAGGACTGAATTCAAATCCAGATGTCATTTCCAAAACAAGTCCTTTTTATTGTCAAGACAGTATCTTGTGCTCTATCTGGACAGGGGCTCTGTAAGAAAACTCAGAGAAGTAAGAGACAGTCTTGGACATTAAGATGCTCCAGAGCCCATGGGCCGAGGACAACAGTATCCACAAGACCATCATGAGGTCTTCTATACGACAGCAGGTGAGTAACTGCTAAGTGAGTGATGTGAGTGATTCTGCAAGAACCATAAGGAGAGGGAGTTCAGCAAGGGTGACACAAATATGGAGGTGGTCATGGGAAAATGGAACCTGGTAACCACAAGGATTTGAATTCTGCAGAGGACAAATGATTACTTTGGGTATGAAAAGCAACATAAAAGGGTAAATAGGAATAATGGGGCTTGTGAGTCTTCAGGAAACAAACCAAATAAAAGTGGAAGGCAGGGGTGGGGCATGTGTGCATGCCTTGTGACCCCAGCTTCTCAGGAGGTAGAGATTGGGAAGACTGTAGTTCCAGGCCAACCAGGGCAAGACAATTAGCAAGACCCCATCTCAACCAACAAGCCAGGCACAGTGGCTATAATCACAGCTACTTGGGAGGTCGTAAGTAAGGAGGATCATGGTCTCAGGTTGGCCCCATGTAAAAATGTGAGACCCTATCTGAAAAATAACTAAAGTAAAAAAGGGCCCAGGGTGTAGACTACTTGCCTAGCAAGTGCCAGGCTCTGAGTTCAAACCTCAGTACCATAAAAAAAAAAAAAA